TCTATGATGAAATCTTTTCCAGGAAATTACAGTTGCAAGTTTAAAGATAAAACTCCTTATGAAGAAGTAGAGTTGATTACTTTTGCAGTAACTCCACAAAAACAAATATTTTACAAAAGAACCACTGGTACATTAATATCCTGCTATGATACCTAGTTTTGGTAGGAAAATAAAATGTGTTCCAAAGTATTCATATCAAAAGGACTTATACAAAATTGCCTTATTAAATGAAAGGATAACATTTACATTTTACATCTAGAACTTATGGTCAAGAAAGAATGGGAAGAGTGTGAATACAAAATTTTGTCCAAACTTTTTTTGAAATGGTTCCATATCTGGAGAATTGTACAGCACTACAGATTGGTTTTAAATGGTTGTGAAAAAATCAGATGAAACTAATCTATGATGATAGCAGTGAGGACAGTGGCTGTCTCTGGGGCTGGTAGAGGATGGAAGAGAGAAGACAGAGTCTCTGGGCTGCTAGTAATATATTCTTTGTTGATATGAGTGTGGGTGACATAGCTGTGTCAGTTTGTAAAAATTCAACAAATTGGACACTATATGTGTCCATTAGTGAACCATCTGTCCACTAATGTGAAATATACTGTACTTCAATGAAAGTTTTAAAATATTTGTATACATAGGCACATCCACATATACGCACACAACTTATACTTGTGCACTATAATCATGATGTGGTTATTTTTAAAATACCTCTATATAGCAGTTTTAAGATAAGTATATTTTTAGTGATAATGGGGCTAAACCTCTTATATCATCCATAAAAGGAGGCTGTGCTTTTAATATGTTAACCAAATATTGCAGCAAATGTATCATGTATTTTGTTGTTGGCATTCATTCATTTGACAATTCAAACAATAAACTTTTTAAAGGAGTTACTTATGGGTTGGTTTAATCTTTTCAAAGGCTCAAAAATCCTAAAAGACCTAAGAGTCTACAGACTTTTGTTGAATAAAAAAATTGAGATGTAATGAGGTAGGTCTACATTGTCTTGAGACTGGAATATATTTAGATTAAACTCTCTTACAAATATTTAACTTTGTTACTAGAGAATAGAAGTAGCATATAATTTTTTAAAGCTCTTCCCTAATGTGTATCTAGAGAGACAGATTGGCATGTACCCAGAGCTGTTCCATGAATCTCGTAGGGGTAGAGCTGGTTCTGATATCTTTTGACTTGGAGTTAAATATGCCTTCCTCCAAGAAAAATTACCTGTCTTAAAATAACTGAAAGCAAATATGACTAAATAGGGATTAACATAGTTATTTGGGAGTTGTTTTACTTTCACAGACTTTAAAGACTTTATATTTTTCAATTGTACCTGTAAACATAAGTAGGATTCTTAGTAGCTTCATTTTACTTGGAGAATGAACTACAATTGTGTCATTTTTATGAAACCTAGGAAGTCATGTGGGCCTACTGATATCTCTAAGCTAACTGAAATATTGAGGAAATGTTGGATATTTTAATGGAACTAGGAATCCTTTAATGTGACATGGACAATGTACAAGTATCTCAAATTTTTGAGATGTTAGGATACCTATTCTCTATAGCTATTTTCTTCTTTATTTAATGAATTTCTTTCGTAATGACTAACGAGATGTTTTAAACAGAGTTGGATGTTATTAGGAGTACTTTTTCTTCTCATTACCATCTTGGGAAGGAAAGTAGAAACAGGAAAAAAGAGAATCCAACTGTGAAATCTTCTGAGCTCCCTTTCTTATGGATTTTTCTCTCACTTAAAATTTCTTATTAATATTTAAAATATTTAGATAGTATATAGAAACAAAAAAATTGTATGTGCCCCCTACCAGCTTAATAAATAGAAGTATACACAAATGAATTTCACTGTGTACTCCTCCCCAGTAATACCCTTCTCTCTCTCCCTAGAAGTAATTACAGCCCAGAATTTGGTATTTATATTCTTCTCAGACCTTAATTTTCATTTATCTGCATATATCTCTAGACAAAATATAATCTTATACTATCTTGCTTGGTTTAAATTTTATATAACTGGGATTATGATGTATGAGTTCTGCACGTTTTTCCTCAGCATTAAGCTTGTGAGCTCCATCATTATTGATACTTGTAGCTCTATTTTTATTCATTTCTTGGTGAATTTTTAAAAAATATTGTTAAAGGATGTTATATTGTAATAAATATGGGCTTCGGTAGTATGGAACTTAAATTCTGTCTTATTCTTTGTGTCTGTGTAGCCTCGAGAAAGTTACTTAAACTATTTCAGCCTGTTTTCTTACCTATGGAATAGGATTGTACTATCTTCTTCATAATTAGTTCAGACATAATGACTTAATGTGCATTTTGAGATATATATATGTATGTATAATATGTTTGGAACAGTAATAAATGTTCTTTCTTTTCCATATTCTAATTTGTTCTTTTTTCCTTATTTTTAAAACTAGTAGTGATTACCAGACATACTTTTTTTTTTTTTGTATACTTTTAATACAAAACTGACCATTTGTTGGTCTTCGGGGATGTGACTTCAGGTTCACCTGTTCATTGGTCTTGTGACTTAGCCAAATTTCTTAACCTTTCTTTGAGCGGGGACTTCTCATTGCTAAGTGGAAGTAATGCTACTTATCTAGCAAGGGCTTTGTGACAATCAAATGAAATCAGTTTATTAAAATACCAAGCAATGTTCCAGCATTATAGTATATGTTTAATATATATTAGCAATTTTACCTTTTGCAATCAATGTAGTAATGATGTCAAGACATTAACATAAAACTTTTATGCACATTTTCTTCTCTACATCTCATGCTTCATCCTTGACCTTCTTTTCATTGTAGGCTTTCAACCTTGAGTTATTTTTTTTTCTTTTTTCTCTTATTTATTTTTTATTTTGAGGAAGATTAGCCCTGAGCTAACTGCTGCCAATCCTCCTCTTTTTGCTGAGGAAGATTGGCCCTGAACTAACATCCATGCCCATCTTCCTCTACTTTACATGTGGGACGCCTACCACAGCATGGTGTGCCAAGCAGTGCCATGTCCGCACCCGGGATCTGAACTGGCGAACCCCAGGCCGCCTAAGCGGAACATGCGCACTGAACCAATGCGCCGCTGGGCCGGCCCCTGAGTTATTTCTTTGACTTCAATAGCTTAAACAATTCTGGTCACTCCCAAACTAGCAATTCTATAAGTATCCAATTCTTTACCAACTCTTCCTCTTGCTTCCTAGTTTATCTCTCCTTTGCTATGTTTAATATTATAATTTCATTATCTCACCATCTTCTCATAATATCAGTAGTTCTTTTTTTTCCCTTTGGATAGGGATGAAAGAAGGACACTGAGTTACCCAAGTCACAACCCTAAAAGTCATCCATGATTCCTCCCAATCTCTTAATCCTACTTAATTCTACTGACTCTACTGTTTAACTATCCCTAGAATATTTTCCTTATATCCGTATCCCCATATCTGCCTTATTTAGGCCTTCATTTCTGGTGGATGGCAAATGGTATTCTATGAAACATTCTTTTTATGTGGTTACTCTTTCCAATCTGTCTTCCAGCCACAAAATCTAGTCATGTTACTGTCTTGGTGAAATCTTTAAATATCTCTTTCTCTGCAGAAGAGGTTCAAACTCCTTAACGGTGTTAAAAATGTTAAAAGTGTTAAAAATGTTCTATAAAATCAGAATTTTAACAGAGTTTTTAAAAAGAGCCCTGTATAAATCAGATTTGGTATAATTTTGCCTTATTACCTGACAAACTGTCTATTGTATCCAAAATTCTCATACTATAGATACTTCACTTTCTCAAGCATATAGCATATTGTGATGTCCTGCCTCCCTACAAATGCACGTTGTTCTCTTTACTGGAAAGACAGTAATTTCCAAATGATAGTAGTCAGGCAGGCTAGTTATACATCTGAATAGTAAATTTAGCAGACTAAATACGCTTTGATGTATTCACAAATTTTGATTCCTTTTATTGACCCTATTGTACATTACAAAGTCACTCCATATTTTACATGCATTATAAATTCAAAATATTGAAAGGCCTCTTGATCTGCAAAGAGGTCAAATTCATCTAAAATGGCCATCTCTGTTTTCCATCCATTTGAAAAAATCAGTTAAATGTGTTTCCCAGGCATAGCCAGACTTCTGGAAAGTGGAAATTGGTTCTTATTACAGCCTTGGCCTTTTTTTTTATCTGGGAGTACAATTGACTACTTCCTCCAATTGTTTCCATTTAAGGCTTACTTGCTGCCCCTGCTCTGATTTCTTACGTCTTCCTATCCCCATAGCTTTTCTCATGCCATATTCTTCTCTTCTTTGCGGACTTCTAATGTTGGTCTCTTCTAGGTTGATGAGGTGTTTGTGTGTGGGTGTTTCTCATCTCTCTCTCCACCTTTACAACAATTGAATCTGAAAATTCACCAAGTAGATGCAAAGTTACTATTTTTATTTTAGACTTGGGTCTTGGATATTCGTATGTGAGAAAAGATACTGACTTTCCTCTCACTCACTGCGGAAGGAGAAATGGACGAAGCTAATGTTCTTCCTATCCATCTGGTTATGCATTACAGAATCATGTCATCTCAGAGAGCTTAAATTTCTAACGCTTATATTTGCAATTATTTTAGGTCAGGCAAGCAATCCTAAGCGATTGTACTCTATATCCTCATACCCGATGACTTAAATTTCAATGTTTTCAATTTTCTACTAGTTTTAAATGCGATGTGATCTTCATACAAAATTGTTTCTATAGATGGTCAAATTGATAAAAGTCTTGGCAGAATATTAATTCTTAGCTATAACTTCTGTAATTTTTAAAATGCTTCACTCTTCAGTTTAAAGAATATTATTCAGATAAATATTATAAAATAAAGTCTACCATGTAGTTTAGCTGAAGTTTATTAGGTTAGAGACAATATACATAAAAGTACAATTAGAATCTGCCTAGGGCAGAACAAAACATTGTGGAATATGAGATATATAATATACATAGTAACTAGATGGTTAATTTCTCAGACTGCCACCTAGAGTATTTTAGCCTAATCTTTATCAGTTAGGTGCAGTTATCTTCTCTGTGGCCTGGCAGGGATTATGTTCTTACATGCACCTGGAAGAAGGTGATATCTCCCCAAACATCCTTGAACTCCATCTCTGTTGTCATTAGCACTCTTACTACCTCCACACTCTGATAGCAATTGTTACTAGTTTATTGACTGAAAAGCACTGTGATCCTGCCTCCTCCAAGGGTGAATTGCTCCCTGCAGTATAATTGTTAGATGGTAAACCTCTATTATCCTCTGACAGTTATTCTCTACTCTAGCCCCGAGCCATGAACTTGAAGGTGTCACTCTGGTCTGACAAATGGTCAGGTGTGACCACATAGAACTGTGATACTTGTGTGTGTTTATGGTACCAGTGTGTATATAAAAAGAGGCTTTGGAAAGACATGGCATTAGGCTGCTAAATAATCTTATAACATCATATTCAGTCATCTTTTGGTGGATAAAGAAAGCTTAATTAGTTTATACATTGAAGATACAATCAGAAATAGACAAACATTTCTTGTACGTATATGCATTTGCTGTTTTACATGGATCTCCCACTATAGGATTTTTGCAAATACTATTATGACTTATTAATATGCTACCTGTGTTTTTTCCCCGCGATGAATATTAGCATAATGAATTATGAACATTTCGTTTTAAAGCCTGCTTTTTTGAGGCAGTGAAAAAAGACTAATAAAAACCATGGTGTGTTTTTAAAAGCTTAAATTCTAAGAGAAAGTGTTCTCAGAACTACTGACACACACACAATAAAGGTGCTTACAGTCCAAAATAGTTGACAATGATGATCACATGTACCAACTATGATGATAAAAAAAAAAAAGAAACCTCTTCCGTATTATTGAAATGAACATTGATTATTTTTAAATTAAAGTCTTTTAAGAAAGGTTATTCAAATGAGCCCAGGTAAAAATCTCCTATGATTTATAGTCATACGTCACTTTTGTTTTATTTTTTTTCTTCATTTTCAGTTTAGCCTTGTTGATTTTCCAGAAATGGCAGGAAAAAATTAACTCTGCATGTCTCACGTATAATGTAAAATATTCAGCCTAAACCTGCAGAAAGTATGTCTTTTAAATAAAAGAAAACAGATGCTCTAGCGTTTCTGCCGAAGAGAGTCCGGTTTAAACCTTCTGCAGTATGCAAATATCATCTCGTCTATGTGAGTGTTTTACCCGAGTGGATGCTGCAGGCTTGGAGGCTTCTGCCTGTGATTTAGGTTGTAATTTTATTTGTGGAAATAAACCAATCGCGGAGCTCCAATTGTCTTAGCGATGAGGTGATCAATAGCCCATTACTGGATAGAACAGTGGCTACAGGAAGTGCATTGAAGATTTTAATGCATGAATTATGCATGTGGTGCTCATTCTTTAGTCTCCGAACAAAATGACAGGGTTTGTGAAGTCGCCTCAGATAGTTTCTTGCATTAAGTGACTGCAGTGAAATGCTTAATATTTTCAGGCATAGAAGCAGCATTGACTCAGGCCAGCCGAATTTGGAAGATGTAAATCCCCCAGCTCGCAGCACAGAATGCGTTATTTGAGAGTATTGCGATGTAGAGAGCCAGCTTTACTGTCATCTAACCTGCTCTCCCCAGAAGGTTGGCTGAAGGATGGGAGCGGCTGTGCCTGCTTCTGAGGTCACAGCTTGAAGTCCTTTTAACTTGCTTTCTGCTGCAGGAGAGAGGCATATTGTGGTATAACTGTCGCTGCATTTATTCAAACGGACAATTTGCGATAAATATTATACCCAGAACAACAGAACACTCCACATATGAGGTAAGTCCGAGGTTTTTCTCTAGGTGAGATCATTGTAAGCGAGAATGTGCTGAGTTAGGATAACATAACGGTGATGCAGTATTAGTAAGGTTGACTCAGACCTCAGTATTGCCATGCAGTTTCAGGGTTCTCGATTGTTATGTTAATTGGAAGCCGACTTTATTTTGTAATTTTGACAGGATTGTGCCATGGGGTATTTTATTTTGCACACAAAAGCTTTTCAAGAATGTACCAGAGCTCAGATGTGTGTCTCTTGGATAGATAGGAGCCTGCAAATTGGGGAGGGATAGCACTGAGAGTGAGCTGAATTAATAAAAAATTACCTCCTTGTGGAGAAGTTTCAGCAAGGCTGTGGTATTCGTTTGGCTGAGATTATTTCCTTAATGTCAACATTTTCAAATTATGGTAAAAGATGTTGGTAGACACCAAAAATTCTCAATCCTTCTCCCAGAAGTAGAGGAAAACTCAAATACTGTGTTGCATACAAATTGAACAGATGGAATTAAAATAATTTGGACTAGCATGTCCTTGAAGGAAGACCTTGTTGTCAGATACAAAACAGTCTGACTTCTGCCTGTAGTGTTTTATTTTTTCTTCCTGTTCAGAATGCCTTGATCCAAAAGGAATGGATAGATGGCATAATTTGAAATTTACCAAAAAGAAAGTTTTATTTCTTTCTAGACGTTTCAAAAATTAAGCTTATACAATTGTAGAACCCACTATATAAAAGCCAAATAAAATTTACAAAAACTCTGCAAAACTGAAAAATATAGTTCTATACCACTGTATTTGCCAGTCTTTGTGAATTATAGCTGCTTGCTTAAGTATCATGGAAATAATTAATAAATATGCAAATAATGTGCTACATGATATGAATTCCTGAACATTTGTTTAGGGTGGGAAAATAGCATTAACAAACATTCAGTAAGAAAATCTAGATATAGCAAAAACATATAGTAAAATTCTTTAAGGATTGCTTTTCAACAGTAAATTTACACTATCAGTGGATATATATACACATTTACATACACACATATAAACACATACATATGCACTATAATATATAATTTATAAAACATAATATATTTAAGATAGCATGAATATATATTTCTTCAAATATGTTAATTGGTGCTAAATTTTTAAAAATATATTTGCCAAATAATCAATCAAGAACTAGTAATAGATAAAGCCTAGTATGCTCTGTAAAATAGGCATCATTTATTTTAAAAATAGAAAGAAATATAGAACATTGATAATAAGAGCACAAGAAAACTACTTTTCAAGCATTTCACAGTGCATTTCATTTCTACTATGGTGTTACTCTATTACTTGTCAACTGTCCGGTGGTATTGTGGCACAGAATTCCCAGCATTGTAGAATGTGTTTAAAGCTTCAAAGCTGATCTAGTTTAGGTACAAGAGGAAACTCACACGTGGAGTTTTTCCTTAGGGAGGGGAAGAAAGGAAGGAGAAGTAACTGCCTATACATCTGAGAGGTCTCCTGATGCTGAGTCATGGTGTTCAATTCTGCTCAAATGCCTCCTGGCTGAGGTGGCCCATTAACAGCTGGTAAAATAGAATCTAAAGGAAAAAGAGAAAGAATGGAGGGGGCAGAAACTTACAGATATTTATTGCTTCATGACACATACTAAATCTGAGTAAAGAGTCTAACAACAGTGCTGCTGTTGGATCTGGCTGAGGTAACAGTAGAAGAAGAGCCTCCAAGCTGGATGACAGGATCGTAGCAGTAAAATTAATGGACTAACATGGGGAGATTGTATAAACAAAGAGAACCATGTAACACTGCACTTGTACTTATTTAAACCTCTCTGTCGTTGTTCTAGTCTCAAAGCTGTTCATCAATCTCATTGAAAATACCTGACGGTCAGATAAAGAATATTTCCCGTATTATGTGAGAGAAATCTGAAATGAGATGTGCTCAGTTCCCAATTCTCACAGTAGTTATAAATAAATTTTATAGGTTATCAACTAGGAGAAACTAACAAGGAATGAATGAGACTATTTGAATATCACCCACAATATATGAGTTGAAACACCAAAATGAGTATAGATAGTGATTATTATGGCAAAGTATAATCATATCAGATGCAGTCGGAAAGGAGATTGAAGATATAGAAAAGACATTAAAAGGGAAAATGGAATGAGAACTATAGCAGTGAAATATCCAATGTAAGATTTTTGAAAGAAAAATGTACTTAATTCATAGTTGATATATTTAATTAATGCCTCAAAATCAATTTATAAGAATTCTGAAATATCATGATTTAATAATATAAGGTTTTATAGTTTACTTTAAAAATGAATTTTAAAGGTGATGAGTGATAAATCAGTTGAGAAGAATATTTTAAAATATAAGCTGTCAATTTTCTTATAGGGAATAAATACTTACACTAATAAGGGATATTTGATATATATTATAATAAATATAAGTAGAAAACGATTTATGTCTATATCTATTTATGTCTGTTTATGTGCAATATTTAACATTAACCATAAACTAGCATAATGAAAAAGTTATGAATCACTTATGGAAGATTAGGACAGTAAGAATATTTGAAGAGAGATAATATGCTCATTTATCCAAACTTAAAACATCCATACAAATTGATTAAATCTGAGCTTATATTTGTATGATAAGCAAACCCCCGTAGGATTCTTTAGTAAATAGTCCTGATGAGTTACAAGCTTTGTAAAATTCAGAGAAAACTTTTCAAGTTTGAATTTATAACAAACAGTGCTACCAAGAGATTTCATCTTCCTTTCTCTCCCATTGGAGAAAATGACAAAATTAGTTCCTCCTTAAAATATTGTCCCTAAGAAATTAGTTTATGAAACATTTTCTTTTCATATCTGCTCTTAGGAGTTGGCTTCACCAATTTATTCTGTCTGATTTTAAATATACATTTCACCCCATTTTTCATTGTTTCCTGATAACTTTCCTCTCATAAGACAATTCAGTGCAATGAAGAAGCATTTATTAAAGATCTTCTTGTGTGCTTTTACTAGGTATTCTGGTTCTGTAGATGCAAAATAAAGATGAATGGCTGTGCTTTCTATAGGACAAATAATTCAAAAACAGAAAAACAAATTACAACATAGCCTCAGCCAAAATATTTGGCCAAAAATTATGGCATCATCAGGAGAAATGAGGACCCATACTCAAAATGTTAAAATGGAGCTCAGAAGAATATGCATAAAGGCACAGAGGCAAAAACTAATACTATTTATTCTAGTGTCAGGACTGAAATAGAGGAATTGGGTGGGTATAGCTGAGAATAAACAAGGTGGGAGGAAGTTATTAAGACCTTAACCACCAGATTAACATGTTTTGGTGGTTTTGCAGTCATTGGACACCCACAGATATTATTTAATCCCACTGGAGGCCTTTAACACTAAAGAAGTTTCTGACCCCTGAATCAGGTTTCTTTTTAGTGACTATTAATCCTAAATTCAATATTTCATTGACTACGTCCTGTATTTTCTGTATGCTAAGACTTCGTCTTGCTGACCCCCAGGGTTGGTAAACCACTGGTTAGTAAATTGCTGGACTTAGTAGACCACTGCCCTCAGGTGCCCTTTCCAAATGCAAACAAAGCAGTCCAGACCCCACACCTTCGACCTTCTTTATCAGGGTTCCCACACTCTGGGCCACTTTCTTCCTGCCCTCATCACCCCAGAGCCTAAGAGTAGACAATTAGGGACAGCCCCTATGCCCCAAAACTCCCAGAAATAATTTAAACTGGCCAATTCTGAATCCCCTTTTACCTTGCCTTTTTCCTGGGAAAACCACAATATAGGCTCTTGCCCACAGTTCCCCCTCTCCCTCTGCCTCCCAGCTGACCCCTCCCCGTGATTCCCTCTGTGCCCCCAGGCTTGACATGCCCCCTTCTCTTGGAATCTGTGAGTCTAACAAGGTGTCATTTCAGTGGCAATCATTACCAGATCTGTTGGCTTTACCATACTTAAATAATAAAGCTTATATTAAAAGCAACATGAAAAACTTCTTAACATCTTATTTAACACCAATTAACATCAATACAAATATTATATTACTCGTATTTAGAATAAATCAGTCAAGTCTTTTTTTTTAAAATCATTACCTTTGTATTAAACTGCTATATTGTTTTGAATTTAAGGGTAAATTCTGTGTGAACCTCTTATAAACATAAGCTTAACTCTTTTCTAAGTTGTGGTTCATAGAGGGAGGGTATATCCTCTAGAAATATGAAGGGACAATTCGAAGTTTTCAGTCTCATGTCAAATGAGTCTCATAGGTCTAAAGTTTTAAATGTTTTCCTGAAATTAGTTTAACTTTTAGTATTTCATATCTGCTACATGAAAAGAAGCATCTACCTTGTCAAGCAACTAAATCAATGTCAGGGGGAAAATGCCACCTTATGCTCTTTAAATACCAAGTTCTGAAACTGTGATTATCAAATACTAGCAATGTTTACATAATGTCTTTAATATCCAGTAGGCAGCTATAACACGCATCCTAATTAAAAAATATTTCTGCTACAGTAAGCCTAAAAATTGAATTGAACTGTCTTGAGAATGTGGTATCCAAGAAAAGGTTGTTGCTAATAAGTGAATGCAAAACTTTGGAACAATGAACCAAACACAATTAACCACAAGACTAGCAAGAATTAGACCACACAGAAGTAGTGCTCTGAAGAATATACAGCAAAAGACATCAGCGGTATCTTCCAGCGGTACTCTCTATTCAAAACACCCTCACTGAAAGAAGTCGAGAACAGTAAATGACTTTAAAGGGTAGAAGAATTCAAACATTAAATGCATATTTGAACTTTATGGCTTTTAAATTCCCTTTCTACTTCAAGATTGTACGATTATGAGTTATTGCTGCAATCACAATAGCCCTTTAAGAGAGAAACTTTTGATAAAGAAATTCAAGCGAGCAATTGGAGATGATTTAGATTGGGAATAGGTTAGAAAAGATACTAGTCATGCTAGCAGATG